TTATATATATCAATTTTATTTAGACTTTGCTGTTAATAGAATTAAATAATAAATTTGGGCAAATGACTACGCAAGCTCACACGTATATTGTATGAGTCACGACTGGCAAAGGCCTTACCTCTGACGTATAAATCAGTCGCCGGAAGACGCTGATTTTTCGGGTCAGGTCGGGAGGCTTTTGGAGGGCAGCTAATCATGGCCCTGAGGGTGATCCAGCGGGTCAGTCCTTTCATAGTGGTGAATACCGCACATAAGGTAAAGACAGAGAACATACAGAGTCGGACCCTTTTCTTGGTCGACATAACGCTTCTAACTCACAAGGGCAAGTTCACTTCCTGACGGCTAGCATCACAGTTATCATCAGGCTAGCCAGCCTTTGCTTTGTTTACAGCTAAGAAGTCAACAAAACAAGCTGCCAGTGCATCGAAGTAGTTAGATATTATTACGGAGTAAAGTTAGACGTATAAATCCCTACAAAATTGCAGGATAGAGAAAGTCGAGATAGCTCTTTGCCGCTATGCTGTTTTGTTAGCTGGTTCCGATATGTTACTAGTGAGAGTCATCCAAAAAATGTGATGATTTTAAATGTCGTTAGCCCTGTTAGTTACCTCAGCACTCCATAGTTTAGTCACTTAGTCATTCCGTTGATCACACGTGTATCTGTTATTCGGCGCTGTTATTTTCGTGTTCTTTCAGATGTCTGCTGGTAACTTAGTCCGGAATGATAAATGATGTTGGATCCAAGGCAACGTTTAGTTGAATTTAGACAAGTGTAACCACAACATGGACAAAGAAGCAGAGTGCTGAGTTCTTTATTGGGGCTAACCTGCAAGTGCTGACAAATGTACACTTGTCAGTAAAGTAACGTTAGGTACCGGTTGTCTACCCACATGACATGGACAGCATATTAGAAACATTTGTGAATACAGCCATTGATTAGCACCACAAACTACAACCTTCAGAATGACCATAAGGTTAAATCACTCCCTTTCTAATACAGTTCAAATAAAATCTCAACATTATAACCTTAATCAAAGTAGAATTTATTGGAATAATCTTATTCTGGTGCACAAGAAAAACCAGCAAATGGTGTGTATAATGTAAATCCATGTTTGCCTTGGACTTTTAACTAATTATTTGTCACTGATTGTTCATAAGTTAACCTACAGTAAACTTGGGGCAGGGTAGTGTTTCACAGCAGAAGTACTTGGTTGGTTGCTTTGCTCCGGGGCCCACTAGTACAGTAGGTTACTCTCAGTCTGGGATGTATTAATCCCATGTTATCAATTAAACAATATGGTTTTTGTTTTTCAGGCAAATGTCCACACAAGTTCAGTGAGAAGCCTAAAGTATGGCTGGTTGTCCTATGTGATGGGTGAGCGAACGACGCCGCGGTTGAAGCAGAACAGTAAAATCTTCTCTGTGGATGGCAACTTGGCCTCAGGGAAAGGAGCCCTGGCCCAGAAACTGGCAGACAGGCTGGGTAACTATCTGACTGCAGGGGATCCTTCTCTTTATATCTATGATAAGCTAATATTGTCTGATATCAGCCAGCCAATTCATTTTTCTTGCTCTGTTATGGACATAACTGCATTACAGGCATAATATGACATTTTGTGAAATATGCTGCTATCTTAGTGGGAGCTTAGTGGGAGCTAAACAATTGGATTATGGTGCACCTATAAACACATTGTTTGACTGAGCTGATATTTCTATGGAAAGCCAATGTGGGTAGGATTTGTGGGGCATACAGTAGCTTATTATTTGGTATTTACAGGGATGCTCTATATGCCCGAGCCTGATACCTTCTACATGGACAAGATGACCGGAGAGAAGGAGCCACTCCCTGTTGCCTTCAATGGGTTGTGCAGTCTGGAGAAGTTCTACACAGACCCCAAAGCTGCTGATGGGAACAGCTACAGGCTGCAGTTGTGGATGTACAACATGAGGCTGCTTCAGTACTCTGACGCCATTGAACACCTGCTTACCACAGGTATTACTGACTCACTGTAGCTTCCTGTGCTCAACGAACAAAGGAATCAGGCTTGAGATGTGCACTTCACTGTCCTGTTAGATTATTTACAGAGCAAACACTGTACATCTGAAGTCTGCAACCCTTGTGATATCATTAGATTGATTCAGAAATATTCGTTAATCAGTGTATTTATGCCAGAATGAATAATTACCCATGTGTTTCCTGATCTTCCATGTTTAAGGCCAAGGTGTGATACTGGAGCGCTCCCCCTTCAGTGACATGGTCTTCCTGGAGGCCATGTTCAAACATGGCTACATCAGGAAAGAGGGTGAGTATTGCAGTGTCACTAACAAAAAAGACAGAGACAAATCATCTTAATTTAAACTCTCATTAAAATTAAGATGCTCAATCCATAAAATATAAGATCGTTTATATCTTTTTTCAACACTATCGAAAGTATTGACATGCTTTTCCAGTTTCAGCTCTGGTTTCAGTTAGATACATTGCTAAAATAATAAAAAGAAAAACTTTAGTTATGATGTGTAAAATGTGTAGTCCACACATTACACATGTTTGACAAAAAAATCCTGTGGCTTGCAGGTGTGCAGCACTACAATGAGATCAAAGGCATTAGCATCTGTGAGTTCCTGCCTCCACACCTTGTCATCTATGTAGACGTTCCAGCTGAGGAGGTGCAGAAGAAGCTGAAACAGAGTGGCAAGGTAGTGAGGCACACGGTGAAACCACAGGACACTCATCTGTGGAGGATCCTGTAATGTCAGATATTTTAGTCTGACTCATTAACTCTCAGTAGAGGGCATTCTATTGAAACAACAACCAAAGCCAAATAACCACTTCAGAGGACTGGATACATGTGTTGGACCTAGATGGTATAAAGTGGGATGTTTTCATCAGGCTGTTGAAGTGTAGCATGAACTACTGATGCTGATTAAAACGGAATCTCTGTATTCTCAGTCCTATCTTCAGAACGTGCCTCTGACTTACTTGAAGAGCATTGAGGATAGCTATAAGAAGTCTTTCCTGCCCCAGGTCAGGTAAAGTCACCTTATGAATGACAGATGTATATAAGATACAGTATGTGACCACTGTAATTTGCTATCAAAGTTGAGTTTTCACCTGAACAGAGGTTTGTGTGTGTCTTTTAGTGAAACATCAGAACTACTCGCTTATGATGCAGCCCAAGCCCAGGATGTTGAAAAGGTCAGATCTGTAACTTTTTGGACATTGTTTTGACTGACCTGTTACTGTAGACGACTCATTTCTTGCTTGCTGTGCTGCAGGTGGCAGAAGACATTGAGTATTTGAAGTTTGACAAAGGGCCATGGTTGGAGCAGGATGACACCACCTACCACCACATGAGGATGCTGTGAGTCCTCGTTACCCATGTTCAGACTGAGGAATGTGAACTCTAGATTCACAGCCCCTGTCACTGTTTATCATACTTGTGCTGAATATGCAAAGTACCTGCAGAAACTTGTGCTGAGAGCTGAAAATGCAGATTTGTTCTGATTGTCTTTTGTGTGCAATAGTCCTTTCAATGTTTTTGTGGTATTATCACCGTGTTTTACAGTGTGGAAGACAAACAAAGTGTGGCAAGCCTGACTTGTATACCAAAGTTTCTGCCAGAGATAACCATCGGGGCCCTAGAGAGCGACGAACTGTACTATGCCTATAAATCGGTATGTAGAGACAAGATGTTCAATTTTACCAACACCCCCCCCAAACAAACATTGTGTCTATATACAGTATATCACAGAAGTGAGTACACCCCCTCACATTTTGTAAATATTTACGTATATCTTTTCATGTGACAACACTGAAGAAATGACACTTGGCTACAATGTAAAGTAGTGAGTCTACAGCTTGTATAACAGTGTAAATGTGCTGTCCCCTCAAAATAACGCAACACACAGCCATTCATGTCTAAACTGCTGGCAACAAAAGTGAGTACACCCCTAAGTGATAATGGCCAAATGGGGCCCAAAGTGTCAATATTTTGTATGGCCACCATTATTTTCCAGCACTGCCTTAACCCTCTTGGGCATAGAGTTCACCAGAGCTTCACAGGTTGCCACTGGAATCCTCTTCCACTCCTCCATGATGACGTCACGGAGCTGGTGGATGTTAGAGACCTTGCGCACCTCCACCTTCCGTTTCAGGATGCCCCACAGATGCTCAATAGGGTTTAGGTCTGGAGACATGCTTGGCCAGTCCATCACCTTTACCCTTAGCTTCTTTAACAAGGCAGTGGTCATTTTGGAGGTGTGTTTGGGGTCGTTATCGTGTTGGAATACTGCCCTGCGACCCAGTCTCCAAAGGGAAGGAATCATGCTCTGCTTCAGTATGTCACAGTACATGTTGGCATTCATGGTTCCCTCAATGAACTGTAGCTCCCCAGTGCCGGCAGCACTCATGCAGCCCCAGACCATGACATTCCCACCACCATACTTGACTGTAGGCAAGACACACTTGTCTTTGTACTCTTCACCTGGTTGCCGCCACACACACTTGACACCATCTGAACCAAATAAGTTTATCTTGGTCTCATCGGACCACAGGACATGGTTCCAGAAATCCATATCCTTAGTCTGCTTGTCTGCAGCAAACCGTTTGCGAGCTTTCTTGTGCATCATCTTTAGAAGAGGCTTCCTTCTGGGACGACAACCTTGCAGACCAATTTGATGCAGCGTGCGGCGTATGGTCTGAGCACTGACAGGCTGACCCCCCACCCCTTCAACCTCTGCAGCAATGCTGGCAGCACTCATACGCCTATTTCCCAAAGCCATCCTCTGGATATGACGCTTAGCACAGGCACACAACTTTCTTGGTCGACCACAGCGAGGCCTGTTCTGAGTGGAACCTGTCCTGTTAAACCGCTGCCCAAGAGGGTTAAGGCAGTGCTGGAAAATAATGGTGGCCACACAAAATATTGACACTTTGGGCCCCATTTGGCCATTATCACTTAGGGGTGTACTCATTTTTGTTGCCAGCAGTTTAGACATTAATGGCTGTGTGTTGCGTTATTTTGAGGGGACAGCACATTTACACTGTTATACAAGCTGTAGACTCACTACTTTACATTGTAGCCAAGTGTCATTTCGTCAGTGTTGTCACATGAAAAGATGTACGTAAATATTTACAAAATGTGAGGGGGTGTACTCACTTCTGTGATATACTGTATACATTATATGTTTGTCAATTACAAACAGTACTGCTGCTGTCTTGTTACTTAATGGGCGACACAAATACAGATGTACAGTGTCTATGATCATTTAATATGAGCCAATATATTAGATCCTGCAGATCAGCCTGAGACCTCCCCCAGTGAGTTGTTACTGCTGGTTGCTACTATTGGCTCTCTGTGTTGTGTTCAGTTACGTTACAGCAGGAAGAGTTTTGTTTAGTTTTCTTATCCGAGGACAAGTCACATGGGCTTGTGTTGAGCATTTTATTAAAACCTACTAAATCAAAGCTAGGAACGCTGCTGCCTTCATTTAATCCTCACTGTTCTTTCTGCATTCTATTTAATCATTTCTCTGCCTTCTCCCATGTGAAGCCCATGTGCCACCATGAGCGTGATTGAACTCATTTTCTTCTGCTGAAATATTGAATGACTTGTAGTTACAAGAACGCAAATGCTAGATGTGGAATTTTCTGCCAGGGGTTTTAGTATCATCAGTCTCACAGAGAAACATTTGTGTCTGACCTTTCTGTTTATTGACTGGAGACATTTTAGTCTCCCCTGCCTAATAATCAGGCTGTGTAATTCTACAGGAGGATGTGACCTGACATTCTGCTGTGAGCCTGGATCTGAGTGGAGAGAATGAGAAATTGTGACATATGGTGGCACAGTTTCACTTAAGGGGTTTTTCAATTATAGGAACCTACTGAAACGTAACATGCCGACTAACTTGTCACTGGTTCTGCGTTTGTTTCACTACACTCAGCCTGCTTTGGAGGTAATGTCCGGGAGATAAATTTCAGCACCCCTCAGGAGGTAGTACTGAAATCAAATACCAGGAATGTGGGGGGTTGGGGGGGTACATGTGCACAGAGCAGTTGCTGGTGCCTGGTTAAATGTCCACGTCTTCACACCTCAAGCATTACAATTACACGCAGCGTGTGTGAGAAGGGAACAGCCCCTCCCTCCTCTAAACAGAGACCGACTGAGAGGCTATGGTTGGTGATGGGAAGTACGGGGGTGCACCGCTCGTTAGCTTCCAATAGTGGAAATGCAGCATTAGAACATTCAAGTTGACAGAGTCAAATCATGGATGACTGTTTGCAGCACTGATGTCACAGAGCTTCTATAGTGTATTTTATGGGAAAAGCAAACACTGTCTGATCATAAAAACACCTTAACATACGCTACTTACATTCACATGAGACAAATCTAACATTTGACAAGTTTAGTGACAAACTATTTCTGAAAACAGTAATTTTGTGATGATCAAATAACTCTCCAGCATTACTGGAAAATTAAATGAACTGCACGGGTTCAACGTTCAGTCTTTTATTAGTCATCGTTTTGTTTTTTTGTCCATGCAGCTGCCTGGGAAGTTGTATGCCCCTGGTTATAATGCAGACATTGGGGACAAACACATCTGGCTGAAGTGAGGTCACAGGTCTGTCGCTGGCCAATCTGCTCCCTGGGTGAACTCTGGACATCTTGTCCATTATTGATCCACCTGTCTTCTGTACATCCCAAATAATTTGCATGTATTAAAGAAATAAAATTTGAATCTAGTAAATGTTTTGCCTTTTGTTCTGACTCTGAGATGAGAAGATCAAAATTACACAGGATGCTGAGAACAGAGCGGGTCACTCTCCCAGATGTAGAAAAGCATTGTGGGTACAGACTCCAGCTGTTTTGCAGGTATTGTTTCACACTACGCCCCCATATGTAGCAGTAAGAATATTTTAAGTGCTGATATACAGCATTTGTACCAAGACTAGTTCTGCTGTAACAGCTATTTACTATGTGTTAACTGTTTATAATCGCAGAACAACCAGTATTTAAGACATTAAGTCAGCATGTAACTGATCTAAGAAAGTGCAAAATACTTCAACTCATTATGAAATACTTTCATTTTATTCCTCGTGGTGCATTTCTATGTTTGAATAGATGTTTATAAAAAATTTTTTTTTCTAGTTTTGTAGTCTCCCCCCCCACTGCCCCCTTCAACCAATCACATGCTCCCAAACTCTGTCAAAGCTCAATAAGTGTGCTTATTTGAACTTCAGTTTTATTTTGAAAGACTGGGCCTGTGATGATTACTTTGTGATCCTATTTGTTGGAGGAGGCTCTTGTAATCAAGAACTGATCACCAGCACAGATATAAGGATAACCTGGGCTCAGCAGCGTGCGGATGAGAGGTGTAGGTAAAGCTCCAATATCTTGCTTCCTGCTACCAGGTTGTAGCATAAATCTCACTCAGACCTCAGACACATCACCTTCCCTGCCTACACCACGCAGTCTGGTACTGCACCAGGAATATACAATCGATGCAGCTTATTAGAGTGCTCACCAGTGGAGAACAGGTTGCAGGCAGGCTGCGACACATACAAGGTCCCACATATCAATGGCCTTGGGGACTGGGGGGGGGGACGATCCCTGAAGCCCTGAGGTTGACGGAAGGGCAAAATATGAGCAATGTTGAGAATACACAAGATCACACCATAGGCCTATCCTGTCACCAGATGTGAATTGCAATGTTCAATTCAATATATGTGTGGAAGAATCACACATTTTAGTCAGAAGCTGGATTATAGCTGGTTAGTTTTTTCCTGAAGGGCTGCTTCTCAGGGCACCAAAAACCCTGTGCACATGCTGAGGCACAGGAAGACACAGCCAAGTTTTCAGTTCAGTTATCATGACCTGCCATAGAAATAGGATAATCCTTTCATTAATGTGTGCTGCATATGGCTCACCAGGTAAGAGAATGATCAAAGGTACTTGTACTAATGATCAAATCCCAGCTGCAGACAATGTCCTACTGTGTCTCTCGAGTCTTCTTTTTGTTGCATCTCAGACACATGGTCCTGAAGCTGCAGCATTAAAGGAACCAAACCAAGCTGCTGTCTTCTGAATCCAGAGCCCCAATTCTCTCCAGTCTGGGCTCCTGAAAGGAAAAGTGATGCTACCGTCACAAGCTCTCAGTTCTGTTATGCTGACAGAAAATACAAAAGCTTTATGAGGAAACATGCACTGCCACTACAGCACAAAGCTTAATCACCAGAGAGACTTTATTGATCTCTCTCTCTCTCAGCATCTCCTTTTAATTCCCGTGTGATGCAGAGATGTGATCTGACCAGAAAACTGTTCTGACTGTATAAATCTAAACTCAGCCACCTGTAATTAACTGGGAATTCCATCAATGACCTCACCATTACTGAGGCTTCAACATGAAGAAATATTAATACACTATTTGTAATTAAATTCATTGGCCTAAAATATTCAGAGAGCACTAATAGACTCTCAAAGGAAGTGGTGTTAAGTTCAACCCCTTCATTATTCTGTCTTATTAATGAGCGACTCCTAATTATCACAGTAAGCCTCCAGCCCCATTTGCTCCTCTGGTGCAAAACATGCTGCTCACAGCTCTGGACGTGACACATTGGATGACGCCTTCCAGGTTCACAAAAGTTCTGCTTTCTGAGACAGCGAGGTAGCTGGGAGCCAAGACCTTGTGACAGCACCCATGCCCAGAAAGAAGTCTTCCCCTGGGACAGGGACCTGGTCCAGCCTCTGTAAACTCTGGAAGTTGATGAAAGTTCTGCCAGCCACAGAAGAGATGTTTTTCTCTTTCTTCACTTCAGACTTCAAGTGCTCTAAAGGGAGTTCTGGCAGAGGGATCCTGGACAGATCCAAACACTGTATTGAATGGGAAGTCGATGAGAGCAGTGGAGAAATTTCTCTTCAGGCAGCTGCTGTATTTCAGGTCTGGGAGACAGCTACATCCTTTATAACAAGCTCAGACTGCCCTAGGAACTGATGAGGTGAGGCATGAGAGAAGGAAAAGTAGCCTGAAGGTAGAGGGAAAGAAAGAAAGAAATGCTTGTTACAACTGTTTCTAGTCTAATAGATTGTCAGTTAACATAGAGTATAGTATGTACAGTACACTACTTCACCTTAATTACTGCTAAATGACTGATTACATCAACAGAAAAGGTGCAAGTTAAGGGTGAACAAAACAAACATCTACACCACAAGTCATTTAGAGTGTCAGAAAGGAACCAGTGTGACAGTCAGCAGACAGTGGAGGCTGGACAGGGGCTGTCTGTTTGCACTGCCAGAGCCAGTGCTTCAGGCCTAGCCAGACAAAGAGAGTGGGAATAATTGACAGCACAGCAGCCTGGTGCAGTCACATTCAGCTAACAGAGGATGGAAAACGAAGTCTGGCGAAAGGCTGGAGCAGTATCCTGTCTGGTATAATGTGATACTGAGGTCTTATCAGTAGTGAGACTAGGCTGAGAAAAAGGTGGACATTTTCACACAGTTGATGTGTAAATCTACAGAGTGGACTGGGAGCAGAACCCACAATCTGTAGGGGAATTAAATGCAGCACTGATTATGTAACTGATACCTTTGTAAGGGAATGTTTTAGACCTGTAGCCTGGGATTACTGCTCGCCGTCATCCTCCTCAGGTCAGAAATGTATGAACTAATTCTGCACACTAAGTAGAGGGCCCGTAGGTGAAGCAGCAGCTTGGAATAACATGAGACATCTGTTAATTAAGACAATGCACATTATCCACACTGCAGTGATCTTAACTTTCATTTCCTAAAAGAACCCATTTTTTAACTGCAACAAGTGTCCCAGTGTCTGAGTAGTCAAGATGGTATCTAGGAGCAGCAACACCAAAGATCTGAATATGACCAGGGACCTTTGCTGCATCACTGTCCCTCATGTTCTGTCATCATCTAGCTACAGTTGCTGTCTAGACTTTAAGTACACATTCGCTGCCTTGCTAACCTCACAGGAATGTCTGTAGAACAATCCCAGGAGGATGCATTTTGGGGAAATATGCCCAATGTTTTTCCTGCAGAAATCAGGTGCAGAGATTTATACAACTGTGCACTGTCAGTCAGTCAACAGGCAGCAGCTGGGTAGATTAGCTTTGCACAAAGTCGGCTTGGCAAATAGCACCACAAACACCCACTAATTAATATATTTTGTTTCTTTAATCCCTGCAAAAAGTCTAAAAACCACCGGGCGCTATTGTCAGGCAACCAGCGGAGATCCCGGGGCGTCATCACTTGGCTGGATGACTGCTGGATGCATTAATGAGCAGCTGTTTGCTAAGATGTTCACTCAACTAACTCTTTGTTAAGGTGATAATTGCTATGTCAACATTCTGCTGTCCAGAACTGGAAAAAAATCTGCCAGTCCTGCTGTAACTTTGTAGAATTTCATACCGTTTAATATTTATATTTGTTAGTTATACTAGTGCTTCTTCTTTGAGATATATTCTGACCCCATAGAAGTTTCACAGTTAAATCTAAAGGCAATCTGATTATTAACCCATTTATTTTACACTCCACACCGTTACTTTGATAAAATCACACTATCCTGCTATTATGAATTATTTCATCTATATACTGTACTTTTTCTAAACTCCACCTGCTTTGCCTCGGCCCAAGAGATTCAGTAAGACAGTCATAAATGAAGACAAAAATTTAAGGACAAAAAGTCCTGTCATTAATCAAAGTCCCGAGTTTGCAGCATTTAACTGAATGGGTTTCTAGGTTTTAGAGGCAAATGACGGCAGCAGGAGCTTTGTCATGCATTAGGGATTTGGGAATTGACATCCTCGTGAAGCACTTCACTAAAGGCGGACTTTAACCTTTCATCTAAAACTCACAGCCTCCAGGATTAAAACTAATTTAACGCTATACAGCAGACTGATATTGAACATATTGCACCAGAAAGCAAACTTTGTTCCATAGAAATGCCTTGGGAAGCCTCGCAGTGACTCAATGATGGAGCTGAGGGAAGATTACTGGTGCACGGGTTCATTTCTCAGCTGCAATGAGCTATGGCTGCTGCTCAGCATCACGGGAGCCCCTGAGCCTGCATGGCAAAAAAAAAAAAATAAAATAAAAAAGAAACAGAGCAAGAGGGAACAGGAAGGGGATGTCAGGCTAATCTGCATTGTTAATTACCATTTATTAAGCACCTTAACATAAACTCTTAATAAAATAATGTCCTCATGCTCTGATTCAGGGAGGCTCTTTATATATGGAGGTCTGGAAATGAAGCTGGTGGCATCCCAGCAGGCGTCAGCATGGAGGCAGCAGATGGCAGTGTTGCTATCCACAAGCCTGCAGTCTGAGGGCATTGTCTAGGAGAAGGGATTGTTTTGACACTGTGTGCAGCTCTGGGCACATCTGCCTCTGAGTTACATCACCACAATGCAAAACACACATCGTCAAATACATGTGACAGTCCCCATATTTAGCATGCTTATACATATATAATCATTTCAAATGCAGTTGTTATTTGTTAACAACTATAACTCCTCCTGTGGGCATTTACTCCACAGGAAGCATTCTAGTTGTAATGCAATGCACACTGCATGACAACTGTAATAATATACGTCTTTAAAGGAGAGGTATAATTGTTGACAAACACTTTATATTATTAAGCACTTAAAGCTGCCTGAAACTACATTATGGTGTCTTATAAACCATTGTATAGTTACAAACACTTCATAGGGAGACAAAGTAAAATGTTCCTTGTGAATTTGTGTGACCACCTTTCTCTCCTTCCTTTGGCTGTTATTTCTGAGATGTGTGCACAGAGCTGTAAAGTGAGAGCAGCCGCTGGCGACTGAAACATTCTCCCTGAGGTACATTTCTATTGTAATATTTTATTTTACTGATATCCTCAATATTAACCAGCATAAAATGCAGGAGGGGTCTCAGGAATGAAGAACAGTACTAGAGACAGATGAATATCTTCAACTGTGGCTCTGAGAAATCATCTTTTTCTGATGCTGAAAGTACAAAAATGTCCATAAACCATTGCAGCTACAGAGACACGGCCAGTCATCAGTGAAATCAGAGCTGCTTTGTTGTTTCAGTTGGGAACACTACATCAAAATTGCTGACTTCACCCAAAATTGAGGCAAAGCTAAAATGTCTGGCACAACTTCACCCACTGTCAAGGTGCAAAGATGAGGAAAAATAAACTGAAAAGGTCAAAACTGCAGTAACACTTGCAGTGTATAGAACAACCTTGTCGCAAGATCAATGTGTTTCAGCTTGCAGCCTTTGTCGGGGTCTGTTAAAGACATCAAGAGTCATTTAAGGTCCTCCATGGAAGACCTGTGCACCACACAGGTCAAAATGAGGGCAGAGAAGACCCCTCACACCCCGGACACAATCTGTTTGAACTCCTCCCCCATGGGCGGTGCTAGAGGTCACTGTGCACCAAAACAACCAGACACAAGGACAGTTTCTTCCCCTGGGCTGTCACTCTGATGGACACTTAACCCGTGACTGTGTGACAGAATGGCCAGAATGACAACCCTCAGTGCAACACCTCTAAATATACCTTTGTATATATCTATCTGGAAATGTGAATCTAAACTGTCTCTATATACACATATATTTTATATTTAGAAGTACTTGATTTTTATTTTCCTAAGGCACGTTCCTTTTCTTGTTCTCTCTTTTTTATCTTGTTTGCTCGTTGCCTTATGGAAGGACACTGTACCAGAGTCAAATTCCTCCTGTGTCCAACACACATGGCCATTGAAGCTGATTCTGATTGAGAAGAATTGATGAGAAAAGTGGAAAAGAAATGTATACAATCAATCAGAAACAACCATATACATGTCAGTCAATGAAAACATGCACTGAAGTGGGTACAGGCCAATCACATTCTCACATTGGTAGAGGCAAAAGGTGCATCTCATTTCTAAGAAATATTTTACCTTCAGAGTTTATTTACAGGTACTAGATATTAACAAATTTTATATTTATGTTTTCCATTGTTTCCTTGTCTACACTCGATTATATTTAATTATATTTATTATATTTATTATACCCTTTTTCTCCTCTTTATTTCATATGTTGTATTGTAGCTCCAATTTTTTTATATTTTGTTGTGGTCCCCTATTTTTTTTGTTATGATTTGTTGGGTTTTTCCATTTACAATATTAATAACAGTAAGGTCTAGACCTTACTTTGTAAAGTGTCCTGGGACGACATTTGTTGTGATTTAGTGCTACACAAATAAAACTGAACTGAACTGATTTGTTGCTTGGGGAAGCCTGTGGTATTTTGTGAAAGTTGGTTTACGAGTGTAACCTACCAGTAGAGGTGTACGTTCTCTAACATGCTGATCACTTGTGGTGTCATCTGTGACACACCTTTTGCCTCTTTACCACTTTGAGAATGTGATTGGCCTGTAACCACATGACCACACCCAACCCACATCAGTGCATGTTTTCATATTAGCTGGGGGCGACTGTGGTTCAGTGGGTAGAGAAGTTGTCTCCCAACCGGAGGTTTGAATCTCGGTGCCTGCAGTCCACATGTCAAAGTGTCCTTGGGCAAGACATTGAACCCCCCCCGTTGCCCCCGATGGTTAGAGCCATCAGGGTGAGTTGGCACCGCAGATGGCTGCCTTGGTTCTGTACTGGAAACAAATTCCTTGTGTGTAACACACTTGGCCAAATAAAGGTGATTATTATTAGCTGACATGTATGCGTTTATTTTATATTTCATTTCTACATCCATTCTACTTAAATGACTCTGGAATGTGCCTTTAACAGACCTTGACAAAGGCCACAAGCTGAGATGTGTTGGTCTTGTAGTAAAGTTGTTCTATAGACCAAGTGTTTGACCTTTTCACCCAAAATTGACCCAGTATCTCATGGTTAACTGATTTAAATCACTAAATGTTGTACCTCATTAACTAAATCTTAAACTTGGTGACTGGTTGTTTATTACCAAAACAGTTCTTGGGAATCATGTTTACTTCTTGTTAAAGGATAAGGCTGGCGTTGTTCT